CCCCATCCCTGGAAGTATTTAAAAGATGTGTAGATGAGGCGCTTAGGGACATGGTTTAGTGGACATGGTGGTGCTGGGTTGACGGTTGGACTCGATGATCTTAGAGGGCTCTTCCAACCTTAATGATTCTATGATTCTATGATTCTAAGTGTAGTTTTGGGGTTTTTTTAAAATATGTAGGCTTAAAAAAATTTAGTGTAGGCATAAAATATTACTCAGCTGCATGGTTCTTCACCCTCTCTTTCTGAAGGCTAGTAGTTTCAACAGAAAACTCAAGAGCATCCACCTGCCCTTGTTCAGTTAATTTTCTCCCTGTGGCAAGTCATATCCTTGCACATGTACAATTATTCAGAGCAACCAGGCATTGTGAAATCCCCTTGGCAAGAAGAGGAAACAGATGGTTCTAGAGAAAATATTATGTTTTGGGTCACTGATTTAGGTCATAAAGAATAGGAGAGTCCCATCACACTTTGGACCAACTCTACAGTCTTAAAAGGATTCAAGCACTGGAAGTCTCAGCCAGAAAAAAGACACCCACTAAATCAGATTTAATAAGTCACTTGAACTTTATTTGCCATATTCTTCCCTTTCAAACATTCTAATATAAGTTGGTTTTGTTTTGTTGGTTTTTTTTGTTTTTAAATCAAGTCCCATATTCTGTTGAACAGGAGGAAAAAAGGCCTAGAGGCTTGCATCTGAGCAATCCATCTTTCTGGCCTTCCCATCCAGCTCTCCATGTACAAACAACATTTTTCCCTCAGACAGCAGGAGATAAGAAACGTGGAACATTTCTGGAGAGTTCAGATGGGTGGGGAAAGGCTGGAGCTTTGGAAGAAAAACCCACCAGCCTTGGCAATGTGCCAGGACCCTTCTTTGAGTGCCAGTAGCATCCCCCAACTCTATGTTGGACTTTCTCCAGCATTTTGTGGTGCAGTCATCAAGCAAGATTCACATACCCGCACCGGCTTTCCTGCTTGAACCAATTCACAATGAGTGTTATTAACACCAGACTGAGGAATTATGGAGGGCTAGAAAATGCTTGGCCACAACATCCTGGTTACACACACACAGTCAGAGCCTGACACTCAAAATATCTCTGAGAAGCAGCTGCTATAAAATTAGCAGCATTTCTTTATTTGTACAATCCAAAATAAACAGCTTGGTCCCCAGAGACCCTCTTACTCTGCATTTGCATAGGGTCTCGGCCCATGGTCAGCACGCTGCTGCAGGCACAGTGGTAGGAATATTCCCAGACAAATCATTCATATTATTCTCTAATGAGAAGCAAGGCTACCAGAACACCAGCCCTCCCTCCAAACCCAACTTTGTTAGCTTTTCATTAAGGTGTCTCAATTGCATTTCCCATCCTGGCCATCAACAATAAAAGCAAATGCGGTAGCTGATTCACAGCACGCCAGGTTAGCAGCCCTGGCAAACCTTGCCTGCTGCGGTGCTCGTGGCCTCAGCGTCACTTCCCCAACACCTCTTGGGTCAGATTTATCACGGCAGCACCGGGCAGGGGTGCTAGCTGCTCTTGGGCTCGGTGCTGGCCATGTGTGTATGGTGAAGAGCCC